ACAGCCAATGAAAAATAATCCCAAATGGCAGATTAAACACCCTCCCTGGTCAACTTTATCTTTTGAAGTCCTTTAAAATGTGTTTTACATCTCATCTTCTATATTCACCCTGCAAAAAGAGTTTTATAAAAACTTGTTTCCTTTGTCCTAGTCATAAATTGTGTTTTTTTCTTTATGCCTGTCTCAGCCTATAAACTGTTGATCCTAATAGAAGGGAGTTAGCAGATATTCCCCTTTGGGGCCATAACAAAATCAGACTTTGCACTGGGGAAAAACAATCTGGGTTATTACAATTCAGAAAAGCCAAGGAATAAGGACACTCTGGCTCAGTAACTAGAATGGTCAGTCATTCTGTAACTGCATGTGAGAGCGGGGTGCAGAGCTTCAGGAGGTGCTCCTCCACTGTGGGGGCCGGGCAGGGTCAGGCCTGAGAGCGATGCCTCCATGAATTTTGCACCCCGTGGGCCTCACTTGTTTTACCCCATCCTGGCTCTGTTCCATGGGAAATATAAACTAAGGAAGGCCAATAAAATACTTACAAATAGACATTATTTCTATTTCTGTAGATTTCCAACATTTTCCATAACCACCAAGTAATTTTTAAATATTACATCTATAGCAGTGCTGCCTGCTTATAGTAATAATTCAGAAAAATCCCACTTTCCTGGAGAATAAGTCCATGTTGACTTCATTGTAGTACGGATAGGATGACTATAAATCCTATGGCTTTGAGGACAATTCCATTTCAAGTGGCACATTCCACCAGACAACACATCCCAGGTTGTGGCTTAGAAAATGCTCTGTCTTAAATATGCATCGAGCCCGGGGCCCTGTGCTTCTCCATTAGTTGCTCTCAAGTGTTACCCCAGGGATTAGAGACTAACACAAGCACCACGAGGTGAGTGACAATCAATATATATGTGAATAATTAACTGTCACCATTTGGTACCAGGCAGGCCAGAAAAAGAATCCATCCGAACCATCACGCAGTAGCCACGTTTTTGGGTTGGGGAGATAGCCTTTACAGTGAGATGATATGAAGAACTAGAAAATTATGGCAAGAATGACTCCTTCAAACTCAAAGGACACCAGTAGTCTTTATTTGCTTAGGCAAATTTTATGAATACATATGGTTTAAATTCTTAGAGTAGAAAAGTGTATCAAGTTAACTTAAACATATGTAATTACTTGCAAAATTTTAGAGGAGGATTGGGACCATACAAAATTACTCAGCTCAACCGCTATTGCACAACAGGAGACTGGGGCACAAAAAAGCTCGGTAACTCACTCGACCCAAATTCCTTTGTCGTGGCTGGAACAACAACCCATATATTTCAGTTCTTAGTCTTGAGCTTTTTCCACTATAATCATGCTGCCCCTATCCTTGGACCATGGGCCACATAAGATTCTTTCAGATGAAAGCAATAGTAACAACAACAACCTGCATTAAATTGGTTGAAGAAAACAAAGAGAATGCGCGGCTCTCAGGACAAGATAGTCCAAGGAGAGCTCTGCCTTGAGGTACAGCTGGATTTGGGGGCCTTAACCTCGCCATGGGGCTGGGTTACTCCAGCTCTGT